TTGTGTGTACCACGGTATACATTTGGTGAACACTGAGCACTGGTTGGGGAATGAGAGAGTGGAGTACAGAGTCCCATATGCTTCTCTACTTGAACTGCCCCGATTATCTTTCATCATGGTGTGCCAGCATTCCCTCTGTTACTTCTTGACTGTGTTGTTTGACTGGACATTTTGCCGTTTGTGTGTGTGTGTGTATGTGGTTTCCTTTCCATTGGGAATGGAATAAGTAATGGAGAGTGAGACGCAATGGTGTTGGGTAGGAATACATCTCTGCTGTTGTAATATTCCTCTTCTTCACATGGGTGTTCCCCTAACGGCCGCTTGCCGTATTCTGATTGTACATGCATGTGCGTATTTGTGTGTGTGTGTGGACTCAACCTATGGATGGGATGATGTGTGTATTGCCTCATTGTTTTGATTTACTAAGTAAGCCACACCAGAATGTTTATTATTTCTTGGTGAATTAATGGTTTTCTGAGCAAATTGTGGTAGTGAAAATTAATTGGATAACCGTTAACTGTAGCTGTAGAGAATAAATGACAATGCTCTGAAAAAAAATTTGGACACAGTGTTGGTGTCTTGTTGAGCAAATGGATGCTGAGTTTTTACTACCACTATTACTTTATTATTTGTGTACTTGTTCCAGTTAAAGGTGATGATTGCTTTTGTTTTCTTGCTATTACGGGTTCCCTCCATCTGTTTTCACAGTGTAGTTCATTTGTTGTGTGCTTTCTTTCCGTCTTTTCCTTTCTCCACAGAATAGCCTCAAGCAATCCACCACTAACAAGTAATCAAACAAACCAAACAGCACGATGAAGCGGATGAACACAGAAGGAGTAGAATCGATAGAGCTGCAGTCCTGTGAAGTGCAAGAAGAGTGCTGCGTGCGTAACGACACACACAACGTGATTTCCTCCGAGCATTATGGGAAATCTGGAACACTGCATCGATGGAAGAATGAGAAGAATACAACGACATCACTGTTCCATCAAAGGCTGTCGTTGCAACAGGTGCTGCGTGTCCTTGTAATGTTATGGCTACTGCTGCCCATACCAAACCCATTTCTCTGCTGTGCTGCAGCTGCTGGCACAAATGGTATTTTGACAACCATTACCGGTTGCTTTCCTAATATGGTGGTCTATGACAGTCAGACAACACAACACTGCGAGGTGGACAATGCCAATGTTTTAAGTACCTTGTCTCTTAAGGTTGGGTATTACACTCCTGAAGGAAGACTCATTTCTGGATGGCCAGCTTCTCTTGTGGAGGGAACAAGTCTCATTTCATTTGTGCCAAACAGTGCTGCTCCAGGGGATATGAGTCTTGTCATTCTAGACGATAGTCAATTGGAGGGCCCTATTCCAGTGACGAACAACTTCACCATGAACTTTGTGAGATATGGAGCAACAACAGCATCATTTACTTCTAACAGTGCCTATTATGGGTTGAAGACAATGGTGCGGACAAATTTACCAAATACCAATGCCATTCAGAACTACCTGCTGGTTCCTCCTCAGTCAGACTGTGATGCCATGGCAAAAAAATGTACTGTTGCTGCTGGGTGCTACAATTTGGCGATTTCTGCATCCTTTCCTATTCCTGGGAACTATTCACTGTGCTTATCCGCGAGTGGATGGCGAGGCTACTACTTGCCGTGGGGTGGAATTCCCCTCGAGGTGAGGGTGCTGGTGCCAAACGAGCTGTATATGAACGCTCTCGGGAAAAACACGCTGTTGCTCCAGGACGCAGTGAGAGGTGCAAATGTGACTGATATGAACAGTGTGTTCCTGGTGAAGTGCCCATACAGTGTGTGTTCACGAGAGACACTAAACAGTGGTGATCTAATAGTGAGTGTTGATGTGTGTACTGGGACCGCTGTCACGGATCGTGTGTACTTGTCTGCTAAGGGTGGACCCTTCTCTGCAACAACAGGTGAGTACGCTGTCTGCGCGGATTACGGTGCAGAGGTTGGTATTTCTCCCGCTGCACTTCCAGTAAGAGTATTGCAGGATCCCTTTGTTTTCAATGTCACTGTGATTACAAACACGTTGGTGACGATTGATGTGCGTGGGGGTGATCTCTCATGGAGGCAGGAACCATATCAAGTGTGTGCGGTGCTGCCGAATACACCGTGTGAGTCTGTGGCTACTGCTCGAGATTCTGTATGTGTGAGGAGTAGCACCCCAAATTCCCCATCTGTTGATGTTGACATCTCGAGTCTGTACAGTCTGTATAAACTGGGTGCTGACAAAGTGACCTTTTGCTTTGTTGCATCTGATGTGACATTTAACGGTCGCCGTTATGTTTGGTCGCATGATGTGAGGGAATCTTTTTTGCCGGAGGGTGACTCAGCAGTGGCGCCAAGCTCGAATAAATTATCTGTTGGTGCCATTGTTGGTATTGTTATCGCAGTTGTGGTTGTTCTTGTTATTGTGGCTGTCATTCTGTATTGTGTGCTGCGTCAGCGACCACAGCAAGAACAACAGCGACCCCGAAAAAAGGTGCCGATGGATGTTGTGAAGTCTCGACCCACAGGTAATACAACCACAGTGGAGACTACTTCGAACTCTCTGACAACAGCTTCTACGACTGAAGTTACAACAACTTCTGCTTCATCTAGAAATACAGCTAGTTCTGTACAAAGTGATGATAGCTCCCAGAATACTGATGATACTGTTAGCAGCGTACTGTGTTGGAGTAACGCTTCACCCAGCGAAGGACAGATGAAAGAGACGTCCGCACCTCTTTTCGACCCATGGCCAGTGTATATTTTTCCCACTTATGCAGCACTTTATAATAGGGGACCTGAGAAAAAAAAAACTATCGAGAAGCAAAAGAGGATACATGAGCGGGAACCGAATAACCTGACGTATTCCGGGAGAATAAGAAAAATGTCGGAGAGTTTAGAAGATATATGCGGCCCGGTACTGGAATCGCCATCCAATGATTCTCTTGAACAGTTTGAGCTTCAAGGTATCAAACAAAGGAAGGATGAAAAGTATAAACAATTCCGTAATAATAGACGTAGAGATGAATGATTCACCATTGTGTTTTTGTGTGTGTGAGTGGTAATGATGGACATGAGTGGGGTTCTCTGCAAAAAGAAAATAAAAAGATCATTAACCAATGAGAGAGTTTGGTTGTGCATTCCTGTGGGTTGTTATTACTATTTATGATGGCATCTAGGAATTAGGGAGCTGAGTGCGGTATTTTTTTTTTTTTTTTTTTTTTGGGGGGGGGGGGAGACCTTTGCCATTGATTGAGTCAAAACAAGGGATATGTATGTGGATTACAGGTACAGGTAATGGTGAGAGTCATGTTAGAATGAGAACCCACATTAAAAAGAATCCTTTTGCTACTGCTTGTTGTAAATGATGATGTGACGATAACATTGATAACAGCTATGAGGAGGATTGTAACTGCAAAGCAAATGTGGAGAGAGGTAGGGAACAGTGATGAATGGAATAAAGAATAACGGACTTCACTGGAGTCATTGGTGTGGAAAAAAAAAAAAAAAGCAGTACAGGAACAATACCACACGCTGAATAGAACGATTATGACAATAAAGAATAATAGTGAGAACAGTTTTTCAACACAATAATGAATGCTAATATTGCATGGACAAACAATGGCATCTTGTTTTGCATCGTGTTTGAGTTGTTTGTATTATTTGTTATGAGCTACGTGGATTGCACCATCTGCAGAAACGTGATTATTTGATGTTGATATCTTTGTAAATTGTGTTGACATCTTCTGTTGTAATTACGCTTGCAGAATAGTCACTACTATCGTTAATAATTTACGACCTCTGCAATGGTGTAAATACCATCACAAAGGAGTGAGCTCATATGAAGATCAAAAAGT